AGACAAGCAGCCTGATCTCATCACCCTACCCTTCTGGGGATGAGGGATGGGGCTGCTTCTCTAGGCCTCCAGAGGATGGTGGAGAGAAGAATGCCTGGTTTCCTTTCCTACCACAAGGCAGGGGAGAGAAGGGGAGATCCAAAGGCAGTGGGTGGCTGCTCACCCCAGGTTAGCTAGAACAGAGCCCAGTTAACCTTCACAGTCTCCACGGGGTCTATGAACCCTTTCCTGGCCTAGATGCAGGGGCTGCTCTTGAGACTGACTTAGGAATCCTGCCATGGTCTGTTTGTGCTCAGTGAGAGGTTTGCTCAGCTTGGGCGGGGGGCAGCTCCTGAGGGGTTCCTGATTCTCTGGACTTGGAGACCCTGTAGATAGATGTGGTTTGAGAGTGAAGACCACAGCCGTGACTTCCAGACGGATGGATCTGGCCATAGTGCTGCCCAGATGACTTGATAGAACGTTTAAATTCTGTTGGTATGTATATGACTTGAAGGGCGTATACCAATGGCATATCTATTTTTCTGGCTCTGGGAAATTTCTCTTTCAGAAATAGACTTTGAAAAAAAAGATTTTTATGTTCACCGTTCAACTGGGCACTCCTAAGTCCAGATCCCCTTATATGCTCCCATCCCCATTAGATGTACAACGCCATAGTACCAGAGGCCTACATCACAGTGCTACCTCTGTGCTAGCTGATGGACTTCTGAGCCATCACTGACCCTCGGAGGCCACAGAGGTTCACAGAGGCATCTGTGAACTCTTGATGTTAGACACTGGACACTGTCTGGGTTTTGATGAGTGCATAATGACTTGTAATAATCAACCCACTATTGCTCCTGAATCATTCAACAATATTTTCACTCCCCTATACATCTCATGTCCTCTGCCTGCTTCCTCCCTCTTCAAAACCCTGACAATCTTTCTTCTTCTTATCTCAACATAATTTTTTCTTTTCTGAAATGTCCTGTAATTAGAATTGTGCAGTAGAGAGCCTTTCCAAGTTGGCTTCTGTCAGTCCTTTAATGTTCCACCATGTCATTCTGTGTCATGATGGCTCATTTCTGTTTAATGCTGAATAATATTCCGTTGTCTGGACATCCCACGATTAAATCATTCACTTGTCTCAGCCCATTTGTGCTGCTATAACAAAATACTGAGGCAGGGATAATTTAAAAAATGACAGACATTTATTTCTTATACTTCGAAGGCTGGCAAATCTGAAGTTAAGGTACTGGTAGATCCAATGTCTGAGGAGGGGTCTTCTTTCTTTCCAAGATGGTAGCCTTGTTCCTTTGTCCTCTGGGAGAAATGCTATGTTTTGAATGGCACAAGGGACAGAAGAGAAAAATCCACTCCTTCAAGCTCTTTTGTAAGGACTGATTCACTTTGTGAAGGTTCTCCTTGATGATACTACATTGACCAGTTTCAACATATGAATTTAAGAGTTTAGGTTCCAAAGAACATATATTTCATGAGAAGGGCCCAGAGGAGGGGGGGGGTGGGGAAAGGGGAGATTACAAGGAGAATGTTCTGGAGAAGTCATATGCTACTGGGAGGCTAGAGCTAGTAACATTAACTTTGGAATGAGTAGACCACTGGAGATAGAGGCGTGGTAGATTCTATGGACTATTTTCTTCTCTCCTTGTGTTTCTGATGCTTCAGATCCGGGAGACCTACAGGAAGAGGCTAGTGTTTAAAGCTGCATCTCTATTGCCTGGTATGGATACTTAGTGGAGGGGATCACTCTGCATGTCTGCCCCATCCTGCCCTAAGGCAGGGCAGCTGGATGATGGTGCTCCCTCACTCTGAAATGGAGAGTGACAAATGGATTGGAGAAGCATCAAGAGTGAATTAGAATAACAAATTCCTCCCCAGCATCCACTCTAGATTAAGCCATTTCTAAGAATGACACATCTGACCTCTGTGGCTATCACTGTTGACCTAAGAGGCTTTTTAAAGGTTACTGGACCTTTCAGTTCACCTTTCATCTATGGGAACTAGTTTTCCTACCCCAGACAGCAATGGTTTGGCTGAAATCCATCTTTTGCCCTTGCTTCTCTGGAAATGCCAGGCTTCAGGTTTCAGGAAGTCTTTCTCCCCTTAGTCTTGGCTAGAGCCTGGTGTCATTCCCTATCAGTCAACCAACGTGGTCAGGAACTGCTGGCAGAGACCCAACTCTACCTTCTGCGATTTGGGGCCCATGGTTCTGCTGCTGGCTCCCTTTCCCCTCTGCATCCTGCAGACTTTACACCTCTACCCAGCCTGCCCTCCTTCGTGTCCAAATGGAGATTCTGCTAGTTTTCCCTCTTGTTAATAATGGTCTCTTTTTCCAACCAACTCCCTCTCTACTCTATCCAAATACAAAGCACTTCATGTAGCTGGTGTTGGCCATTCCATTGAGTTTTGATGAATGATGCCCTGCACAGCCAGCCATCCCAGCTGCACCAGGCTCTTCACCACATACTCTTTCCCCAAGAGCTGCCACTCCGGGGTAGCTCCTGAACTAGCCCCAGCATTGAGAATATACCTGGAAGTAGTTATTGTAATGAGTTCTTTTAGGCATGATGATTTCTGGGTAAAATTCAGTTGAGGGTATAGTAGTAGTATGTGTGTAGGCTCAATCCTCAAATATGATTGGTGTCTATCGTCCAAAAAGAAATGTAGTTAATTACCCATAATGTACTTACAACCTAAAAAGAGAAGGAAGGGTGGGAAGGGTGGTGAGAATGTTGGAAGGGGCAACATTGATCAAGATGCCCTGCTTTCTTAAACTGCCTTGCTGGATGGAAATTCCTTGGTACAACTACTTAAAAATGATGTCTAATATGTCCTTGCAATTGATGTGGCAGAAAAAGTGGAAGGGAACAAGAATGAAACAACAGTGGTTGTAAAATTCCTCATCTAGTTGGCAAAGAATCAGACTCAGCACTCCAGGTGGGTTTCTAGATCTGACTGGGTGGATCTACTCCTGCTTGCCTTGTTCCATGAAAGAAGGAAGCAGAAATCCTTACACTTGCCCCGGACAATAGCCATTGAGAAATCAGAATTCTATAGGGATCTTTTAAATCTAGCTAGTGTGATCTTACTTTGTTTATACAACAGAACTGACACCAACTGCCCTTGGAAATTGTCAGGTTGAATGGAGGTACTAACCCTGGAGATCCGGAAGCTTTCTAGCAATTCCCTCCTTAGCCACAGGTGATGAGTTCTGACTTCCAGTAAATGCCTGAAAATGTATAGATAGTACCTAACCCTGTTTCTTATTGCCTAGAAGCCCTGCAACATTGCTATTCTGCTGATCTGTGATTGATGCCTCTTTTATGTCACTGCTTTTTTGGGACCACTATTCAATAAAGCAAGGCTCACTTGAACACAAGCAGTGATGCCATTACAGTCCATTTGACAACCAAGATGGCTGCTTCATGACAACTGGGTAGGCAATATGTACAGCACAGACACTCTGGACAGTGGTGAGTCATATCCAAAAGGATCTAGAGTAGGTCAGTAGGATGTTTTGTCATGCTACTCAAAAGAATGGAAAATTTAAATAAGTCACGAAATATTTACTTCTAGAATTTTCCATTTATATTTTTGGGCCATAGAAAGCAAACTAATGGGTAATGAGGGATTGCACGTGCTTTTTCACTGCTTCAGTTCACATGGAGTGTTGTGTCTATGCTTGTGTGGCAGGAAAAAAGTATACAGGTAGAGGAAACAAAGTGTGCTACTAAGATATCCACAAAACATAAGATGCTGAGTGCTCAGACTTGAAAACTGTCAAAAAGGAAAAAGAAGAAAAAAAAAGGGAGAACATTTTAGGATTGAGACAGAAAACAGCAAGAGGGAAGATGACTTAAACAAAACTGTTATTTCTGATTACACCGAGTCCTTAAAAGATTACACTAGATTCACTGGCGCTAACCAACAATGAATTTCATCAAAGGTTTAATTAGTTGTGATGTTTGTAATTTTTGTAAGGTTTGTTGATGAATACCTTCCCACCAAGCCCCAGTGAGGCTCTCAAAAAATCCACCAGGCAAGAAACCTTTAGGGTGATTATGTGTGTGCTTTTTTAATTGTATAATTCATTTATACAGAGAAATCATTTGATTGACCTATTTACAGTCATAGATTCTAATTTTAATTTCCACTGGCAAATGTATTTCACGGAATAGTTAACAGTGAACTCATTACCACTGTGCATCTGCAATGACATAGGGGTTTAGTCCCCCCTCTCCCTTTGAAGACTCGAATTCCAGCAGTGGGGATTCATCAGTCTTCTTTCCATCTTATGAATAAATCTGACCAACGTGGATCTACTATGGTCAAATTTTCAGCACAATTCTCAGTTTCTTTTCAGCCTCCTCATTTGCAGGCTTTATATACCCAGGCAAATAAAATTCACATCCCCTTCACCACCTACAACTTACTACAGACCCTCAAGTTGAACTTTTCCTACCTTCTTTCACATTCTGGCACAACCAGATATTTTTACTTTATTACAAAACTACTTTCTTTTCCCCTCTTTTTTCTTTTACTTACTACCTTGTCTCTTTCTTCTCAGACAACATAAAAACATCCGTCACAATTCCTTGAAAGTGGTTTTCTTTTAGTAGTCTAGAATACAGAGAGTCATTTCATGAGTCTTCACCGTCCTGAAATGCTACACTGTAAACATTGTAATTTTCTTAATTGGCTCAAAAACAGTATGGCTTGGTTTCACTTGGTTATTATGATTTAAAAAAACACAAATATATATATTTATATATACATACACGCATACACACATTTTTTATCAAGAAGGAAACAAAAAAAACATGCCAATTTTAAAAGGCATCAAAGTAAAAAAATAAAAGCAAATACTAAAAACTAGTTTACAATAAAAAATTAAATAATTGGCAGGATAAATGAATGAAAAATGAGGAATGAATGTGCAGTGAAAAATGAAAGCATTCCAGTTGATAACAAAAATATAAAAGTTTTATGGGCTGTTTTGTACAATTTGAAATATTGTAAATGTATTCTGTGTAGATTTTAGGTGCCAATGTCAAAACTTCAATTCAAACTTGTATATTCAAGATCACCAGCAGAATTCTACTATTTGCAAAATTCTAAGTGTTGATGGATAGTCTCATGATGAGTCCAGAATTAGGAGATAACCCATTTGATTTAATTTAAAAATACCAATCTTTCTTTCATGTTCTTAATAATCTAAGAAAATATCTTTAAAAAAGGTTAATCCCCCTCTGCAATTTTAACAGTAATCTGTGCATCTTTAGCTGCCATTAAAAAAAAAAAAACAAACAAAAAACCAAAACACATAAAAAACAAAAATCCCCAGTAAACCCCACAAAACAAAACAAAACAAAAATACCCCAACCCCAATCCATGAACATGTTACAGCTGGTACAAAGTAACCCTACAATGCTCCCACTGCAAGAGAAATCTGTACACATTTATAAATAAACAGTCTTTCCGCCAGTGAATACAGTTTCCTTTACACCAAAGTCTCTTTCCGTTTGCCACCTGTCTGGGCTTTGTCCCTGGCTCGGCGAAACCCAGGCTGGGTGCGGTGTGCCTTGACACGCTTAGAGCCACTTGCCGCCTGCACGCTGGAGCCACATTCCAGTTTGCTTTCCTCCCCTTCTGCCTGCATCACACCAGGAACCACAGATGCCCTTCTCTGGGCTCCCAGGTTCCCGGCAGAAGGGTTGTTCTCCTCACACTCCTCATGGAGCTCCGGCAAGCCCTCCAGCTCTGGCGAAGTGGCGGCATGCTGGAAAGGGGCAATGGCGGTGCGGATGCAGTTGAACCACTGTTGCTTATGGAACACGTCATTGGCCTGGAGAGTGTATGACTGGCCAGGAGAGGGGTCTTGGAAGCGAACTCTGAAGATGTTTTTAGCTGGAAAGATAAAAATTGAAAAAAAAAAGAAAATCACATTTCAGAGAGTTGATTCTGAGGAGTGGCCATAGAATCTTAGCACCATTGCTGGTACTTATGGATGATGCAGCTTGCCACTGTTAAGAGTCGCCATAGGGTGGGGAGGATTAGGTGGGGGTGGGGTGCGGGGAGGGGGGAGGCTGGGAAGGGATGGGAAGGGGAAACAAAGGAGGAGGCTACAATGCTTGATAAGAAATGTACTCATTATCTTGCCCATGTAATTGTAACCCCTCTGTACAGTATTTTCACAATAAAAAAAAAAAAGTCGCCATAGGAAGCGTTTCTTTGGAAAATCCTTAAGGGGTAAGCCTAAATCCACTAGGTTCATTTGTTTCTTTTTTTTGTTTGTTTGTCTCAGGGCTTGAACTCAGAGCCTGTGTGCTGTCCCTGAGCTTCTTTTGCTCTAGGCTAGCGCTCTACCACTTGAGCCACAGCACCACTTCCAGCTTTTTATGATTCATTGGTGATAAGAATGTTGTAGACTTTCCTGCTTGGACTGTCATTTATGTTTCTTTAAACTACCTTTATCTGAGTTGCCAAAGGCCCCTCGGAAGGAACCGCCCATGCGCACGTCGCCATCTTGCAGGTCTTCCAGTACCAGCTCCCGGACTGGGATTGGCTGCCGGTAAACCTGGTATGAGTGACGCTCATTCCTTGTAACAGGCCGAGTCAAAACCAAGATGTCTTGAAACAGGAAAACATAAAGTTTCTGGAGAAACAGGAAATAAATGCTTTGTTAAAATGGAGCTTTGGGATTTTAAATGAATGACAGGTGCTGTTATTAACTTAACTTGCTATTGTTAATCCCATCATTTATTTCTAGAGTATCTCTTAAGATTCTTCATAAAACTGAGTTAAAACACATGGCACAAAACCTCTTATATAAAACTCGACTTGAAACACCATACACCTCAGTTTTCCATAAAGTAGGGGTTAAAAATGCATACCAGTAGTGTTAAAGGTTCTATTTTCATCACACAGATTTAAGCCTTTAGAACAATTGGGCCTTGTGATGGAAGCCTGAGGTATCTGATTCAAATTTAAAAAATTGCCATTCCCTGATTAGACTTAATTTTAGCAGATACTTTGAAATTCCGTCTGCTGTAGAAATGTGTTAAGTAATGTTGAAAATAAATCAAGCTTTTTCTTTAAAGACAGGGTCTCACTATGTAGACTGGGCTGGCCTGGAACTCATGGTGCTCATGCCTTAGCCTCTGAAGTGCTGGGATTAGAGGTGTGCCCCAGCATGCTCGGCAGGATACACTTTTCTATTAAACATTATGGAACTTAAGACAGTAATTTCTAGCCACAGAAGCTGACTTAATGCTTTAAACTGGGAAACAAAAGTTTTTTTAATTTGTGTAGACACTGAAGTCATGGTATTTCTTCCACACCTACATAAACCAAAGTTTTACTTGATCAAAGCTGGTAACATAATCAGTAATCTTTCATTATGTTCTCTTACGATGCTATGAGTTTATTTTGACAAACCCGCCTAAACAATTTGTATTAAACATTTTAAGCAGGGAAGAGGAAGAAAGTACTGGCTTACTTCCTGCAAGCATGAAAATGCACTCACATGTCCATTTTTATTCTTCAGCTCCCCATGGCACAAGAGCACCTTACTTGCTTCGATCCTAGGGTCTTTCTGCTTCTCATCCAGATACTCCAGCTTGTCAATGTAATACTGACACTCAGATTCACCTTTCTTCAAGTTGATATCAGAGAGAACACCTTGTATTATCAATACCTAAAAATAATCACAATACTGATGGAGCAACTTTAGCACATTAACCCATCTAGCTTTCTTCCATAAAGTAACAGGACAAAACTTCAAGTGAAAGCCTGAAGGGACTCTAGAAACCAATGCCTACAAGACCTTCCTTTTACAGATGAAGATGTACCCCAGCAAAACTGGGTGAGTAGTCAAAAGTCACCTGCTACTCAGTGAAAAAGACCAGTTAAAAGTCCCTTAAGATATGTATATATTGCTGGGCGCCAGTGGCTCACGCCTATAATCCTAGCTACTCAGGAGGCTGAGCTCTGAGGATCATAGTTCAAAAAGCCAGCCTGGGCAGGAAACTCTGCGAAACTCTTATCTCCAATAAAACCATCAGAAAACTGGAAGTGGTGCTGTAGCTCAAGTGGTAGAGTGCTAGCCTTGAGCTGAAGAGCTGAGGGACAGCGCTCAGGCCAGAGTTCAAGCCCCACAACCGACAAAACAAAAAAAAGAGATATGTATATACACACATACACACTCACACACACATGCATGCATGCACACACATTCACGCTAATGTGTGATGGCTACTTAAAAAAAAAACAAAATAATGCTGATTAATTTATGCAAGACATGAGACTATAATTCTATACTTTTCTAAGGGCAATGTATTGTTTAAATTTGAAAAATGAGACTCATTTATTGGACTACTTACTGCCTCCTCCAGAAGCTGAACATCAGTGTGATCTTTGGGAGTGTGTCTAAGAATTTCTTTTAACAGTAAAGGGTACTTGACTAGGCGACTTCGAGGGATATCTAGGAAACTCCAAAGATCTAGTTTTCGACTGAAGGGAGACTCAAGACATCGCTGTAGGAAGTCTTGAACTCTTGGATCCTGTTTCTTTTGATCAAGAAGAGCTTTGGCTGCCAGCTGGTTGCTACAATAGCCTCTGTAAGCATTCAAGCCTGGTAACTAAAGAGTGATCAAAGAGAAAGTGTCACACATTTTTGTTATGACCGGAAGTATGAATAAACCTCTGAACACAGGGATAAAACTACAGTGGGGCTATACTTGAGTTTTCACAAGCTGTGGACACTTTCCACAGATGGCACTGGGACAACAGTGCAATGCTCTTTTTTAAGTTCCCTAATTGGACTGAATTCAGTTGGAGAGCTATACATTCTTCTTCCCCCGTCTCACTCAGGTGCTACTCATTTGTGTTCCCAGGCCACCCAAGGGACTTTGACCACACGTACCACTAACCAACCCTAACTCTGGCTGTAAATGCCCAGTCTGTCTCTCATTTCTAGGTCCCCAGGAACCATTGCTTGGACAGAGCTCTGCACGTCGGAGGCACAGCAGTTAAGTCAAAGAATGAGACCCATAACTAGCAGTATATGTGGGGGTTCTGTCCAAGCAGAAACACAGCTGCAAACGAACCTGTGACTCAAATGAAACTGTACAGGTCACAAAATTTTTTCTTTCCTTAAGACTATTACTTATAAATCTAATTGATTTAAATTAAATCTAGTTGATTTAATGCCTTAGTGTTCGAAGAATCAAATTAGGGAATCAAATGGATCTGATATCCATTAGAAATCACAATATGGCAAGTCTTTAAACTATTAACTTGAGCCAGCCTGCTACGTACCCAGTTCACAAGGATGTGGCCAATCTGCTCCACTGTCCCGTCGGGCTTGGTTGCTTCTCCTATTCTTGCCAACAAATCTGAAGTGTAAAAACATCAGACAGATCAATAATATGTTTATTTAAAGAAATAGGTCAGCATTATATTATTGGTGTATATTATTAGTATTTAATTTTTGTCTTCTAATTGAAAATATTGAAAATTAGTTGTGTTAGTGCTGTTCAGGTATGAATGAAAATGAAGACCATATCTAACCTTCATGCAGAGGTATATAAGCATCCAGATCACCAAATATGTGCGTGAGTTCCTCTTCTGACATGATAGACAACTTTAACATGGGGTCATGGTAGGCCTATCAGAGGGGGAGACACGTGTCACACAAGATTGAGCAAAGAAAACGCACTTGAGTGTACCCGACACACTACAGCTACATGGACTTTATCCAAGAAAGTAAGGTGTTTGTAAATCTCCTAACGACTCTCTTAACGAATACTCATTTGAAGAGAAGTACTTAAAACATCACCTACAATATGTATTTACCAGTAGGTAATTTTTACTTTCCTTCTTCTAAAGGTTAACTGTAGCCTCTAGAATTTATTTTTAAGAATTAGGACAAGATTAAAAAAAAGTGATTACTGACCTTTCTTGCAAGCTTGAGGTCCTCAATTAAATCCTGTTCACCTCGAGACATTTCATATATTGCCTACAAAACATACAGCAAACATCAGAGGCCATTCCTTCCTCTGAGGAACGAAAATCATTTAATTGATATTTACACTGTTTAACTGATGTTTTATACAGGTCTTTATTTAAGTGCTTTGCTCTGAAAACTATAATTCAGGATGGAATGTGAAATAGGGGTTGCCATGTTTTATAATTTTAACCGCCAGCTATGTAATTTATGACCACCACCCGTCACAAAGTGTTGTTCTCACCATGTGGCCTGGGTGGCTGTTCAAACACAAATTTGCTATAGACCATAAGTTTGCTGTTCAGGCAAATCACACATTTCAAAAAGGGGTCTTTATGATTATGGTTCTGGTTTGTATGCCAATGTACCTCCTGACGTTTGATTTCTCTGGCGGTTAAAGATTCCTTCATGGTGATGTCTAACATCTCTGACCACAGCACACTGCTTCTTCTCTTGGTAGGTGTGGGGACTGTCGACCTGCTGAATGGCTTCTGGGCAGAGGCTGGGGATCGGTGCTCGCCTCGAAGGGTAAATGACTAGAGGAGGGAACCAGAAGAGAAAATGAGATTTACAGGCTACAGTAATTATTGTTTCTTTTGAGAAAATGTCAACAAAGGCAAATTAAAAACAAAATTTTGAGAGTTTCTTAGTGCACAAAGCAACAATTTAAGTAACAATCTATCATTTAAATGTAACATTATCAATCAAATTTACTTTTTGGAAATAAAAACAAATATATCTTTGATATAAAAAGCAGATTAGTGAAATCAAACACTATCTTGATAATAATATTCCTTGCCAGTGATTTTCAATAACAAAATTTATGTTTAAGTATAGTAGGGCAAACATGTTGGTACAGCTCCAAGGAAAACACAACTTTCAGGCTAAGAAATCACCTGACTACATCTCTCTCCATTCCTCTTTTTACCTGTATTGTTTGGCCAAAACGTCTGACAGCTCCATTTCTTACAGGAGAGATTAAGTTTGCCAAGGATGTGACCCGAGCTAGAGGTCGAACTCTTTTATTGCTTGGCTCCTGTAAAAACAAAAACCAATTACACTAAATGTGTGCTTAGGTGCAAGGATTTCATACAAGCCTGGACAAAGTTAAGCCCTCTTACAAAACAACATTTGTACGTTGTAAGATAAAGAAAAAAGGAACTCTGGAAATGATTGCTGTTTTTCCCTGTTAAAGTAGAACATGACCAAATAACAGGAACTTACAATTTCATTCTTAACTATTTTAGCTAAGTATAACCTTAAAATAAACATGGGTCAAAAAGTGTTGAAGCCAAGCAGGGACATAGTTAAAGAACTCCCAGGCTCTAGAAGCAAACCTTGGCTTTAGCACTTGGTCATGGCACAACTTCAGCCTTAGTTTTTCTACCTGTCAAATATGGCTAATGATCAGAATGTCTCTTTTAAGTCTATGAATTTTACACAAGTAAAGGGTGCAGAACAGTGTCTGCTCCACAGCAAGTTTTAGTAATGTGACTTTTCTTAGAACATTTCCACTCTTTACATAAACAGAGCTTTCTAAATACTCTCATACTTTACTAACTTAGAGGAAAAAATAGCTATTACTGCTTTTAAGATACAGTGTAGCAAACATGCCTCAAGCATCTTCAAAACTTGACAAAAATTTTATTATTCTAATTTTACTTCTAGTTACATGGAGGCATGTCATTAGGTGAGTCATATTTATTGAATAAAGAACGACAGGTCATACATCTATTCCTTATACTTCTAATGGAATATAATCATTGGAATTTTGTGCCTTTGAAACAAGACTGTGGCATGTCATAATTAATTTGATGAGAATTTAGGATATATATTCTTAAATTTTATAATTACTTAAAATTATTTTGAAAACCATCAAGGAATTTGAACTACTGAAGAGATTTTTGCAGGCAAGCAAGGAAAATTCACAAGTTTGATGGCTTTACTAGGTCAAAATTGTATGCTCCCCACCCCTCAATTAACTTCAAAGTAAAACTGACTATAAGGCTTCTAATGTGTAAACACTAAACAAGCTGAAGATGAAGGTCTGAGGTGGTGAAGCAGCACAAGCCACGAGCAGAGGACATGTGTGAATGCCTTCACCACACGTCTGTGAGCACTGAGTGACACATGCGTGTGCAGGGGCCAGCACAAGACATTCCTTTCCATTTAGTAAAGACAGTACAAAGGGCTCCTATTTGAATGGAGATAGAATTACCTCACAAAGCAAGGCAGGCCAATGTTACCCAGATGCAGTTGTCACAAAGTTCTGCTCTGCTCTTTGGAAGCAGAGGTTAGCCCGCCTCCTTGTTTAAAGCATAACCCATTTGGCTTCCCAGAAATCATAAAATACTTCATTCCAACTTAAGAACTTTTAAAAAGGTGCTTTTATTGAATTTGAAAGGAGAAATTAGTTTAGCTAGGAGGAAAGGATTTTTTTGGGTAGTATCTATCAGCTGCAATGAAATGAATGACAAAATCCTTATCTTTATAGGATTAAATTTCCCATTAATTCAAAATTTTGATATTTAAAATGAAAGCTATGTAATTTGCATATTAAAACATGTCTATGAAACAATACAGATTTTGTTTATGCAGTTTCTTTAAGGTGATATATTAGACTAAGCATTATTTGGTGCTTCAGAAGTTCCACAATTCTTCAAAAGTAACTAGAGTCTCACTTCTCCCACAGGACATGTAATTCTTCAGTTTAGCAACTCTACAGTACATGGTAAAAGAGTCAGGAAATGAGTGTGGGAAGGAAGATTGAGGATACCTCTGCAGTTCCTGCCACATGCTTTTTAGGGTCTCTGATAACATTCCTGCAGACGACACAGATATTATACATCTAATCCATCTGTGTGTCAATATCTAGACACTGCTTAAAAGCCTGTGTTTTTTTAAAAATGAAAAAATGAATAATTTAAAAAGCATAATTAGGAAACATATAGGTGTAACATTGAAAATGCATGCAAATAGTACTTGAAACGAAATTCAGAAAATTCTTGTGGAAAAAAAAAAATCGAGTATTCCATGAGTCACCTAAAAGGAAGGAAGAAAAAGATGTCTCCTGGATTACAGATCAGAATTTGGATTACATGAGCTACAACCAAAAGTTGTTCTTCTTTACAGGTCCAGGTGAACCACTTTAATGATCTGAATTTAGTTATTAGAACATAAACATCTGCCTTATAAACTTATTTCTAAGACACTGTTTTCAAAGAATTGGTATAAGTTATATCTCTCTTCCCAATAGACTGCACTGTTCTGGTATCTGGAGATAAGGAAAGAGAAGAGGAAGAGGAATATGCATATCAAATTACCACCCAAAGTGAGGTTCAGAGATGGTGTTATTCCATTTGTTTTGGAGTGCTGGAAGCCTGATGTAGTGAATATAAGAAGCTTAAAAAAGAAAGACATGGATACTGAAACTATACCCTCTGTCCAAAAGACAACCTAAAAACTGTGGGGATAACAAAAAATCTGCAAAGTTCACACACACAATGATTTTTTTTCTGCAGTTGACTTCAGTCAGCCTTTTACGGGCTAAAGTTCACTTGGAGGAGGAAAAAACCCATTGCTCCCAATATAAGTTGGTGTTGTTTTCTCAGGTTAATTTTTAGTCAGGCTATCTAGTTTAATCAGTCACATGTATTATTACATGAAATCTGCCTTGATATCAAGCCTTTGTTTAGTAAATTTTCACCCTCCATTTAAAGTAAAACCTTATACCTTAAAACATTTTCCAGATATTCATAAAAAAATTGTAAAGACTTTAGTCCTTTATTGGGATGTACCTTGTATATAAACATAACATGGAAAAATTTTGTTGTCTATTTTGCTTCGTGTAAAAAGTTTTGTTTTTCTAATGATGTCACTTGGGAGTGCATATTTGAGGGGGTCTCTTCTATATTGAACAAAGTCAAGACACTTCATTAAAAAAAAAAAGTCAGCATGTGTTTTGTTATTTTTCTCTACTTTGTGTTACTAAATAATCTCTCCTGTGTAGCAAAAAGTTTAAAACCAGAAGAATAAAGTTGTTTTAAAATGAAAAAATGATCACATGTGACTTCATCCCTTTCTACTTGGGGAGGGAGGAAGAAACTTAAAATGTTTAGGATATATTGCTAATTCTAAAACCCAGACAACACTGTTGATGTTCTTAATCTTGGAAATAAAGGTATGCCTCCAAACATGACCCAATCTTTTTTTTTTAATTTCAATTACTATTGGATTTATTTTTATACTGTTTTTTATTATAAAAATACTGTACAGAAGGGTGACCCATTCTGATAGTAGCCTTTCTTGGCTAGTTCTTGATGTCCAAAAAATGACTGTGTGTCAAGTGTTCTACTCAAAGAAAATGCTTATAAAATTTGAAGAGTATGTAAGCAAAAACAAAACAATCAGAAAACAAAGCTCAAAAGCAAACAACACCGAATAAAAATCCACCTTCGAAACTTTAACTACTAAAAGGTATATGTACATGTATAACAAACAGACGTGTTGAGGTATACATTACATATTTAAAAGGTACAATTATTAGTTTTGACACATCTTTAGCCAGAGCTACCACTACAATCAAGAGATGTGAAGAGCCCACATTGCAGTATGTGTGGTATACATGGAATGATCAACTACTAAGTTGATTAAAACTTCATATAGACTTTAAAAAGCCAAAATGACTTCAGATAACAAAAGCCAAGCAGGTAGAATTTCAGTGTAGCACTGGCTGAAGTATTTTAGCACACCTTTGCTAGCTTAAGGAAAGTGGCACACAGTGAATTCATGTAAAAGAAAAATAAGCAAGCGCTCCAGGCCGGGCTTGACTTGCAATCTGTTCACTAGCATTAACTTGGCGGAAAAGGTTCTTGTTTTTCCTCTTAAAGCAGCACCTACGACTTGACTATACAAATTCAAGTTTAACAAGCACAACCACGTTACGATGGAAGGCATGAAGTTAGGCAGAGACACAAAACGCACTTAGAGTCCGTCTTTCTGTGTGGAAGGAAGCTGCGCGCTCTCAGGCCCGATACAGACACCTATTCACACACGCTCGGCCCGCGGACCGAGGGTTCCCAGCACGCACCAGGAGCCGGCCCTGCGCGGCGCGCCGGGGCACGGCCGGGGCCGGCCGGGCGCCCGAGCCCGCGTCTTACCTCCTGCTCTCGGAAGGACTGGTTGTTCACGTCTAGGACTCGAATGGTCCGTTTAATCGGCAGGAGACCTCCGATCTCATCGTGCGCCACCATGCTTCACCGCGGGGCCTCCAACCCTCCGAGCTGAGCACACGTGAGTCAGCCCCGCAGGAAGCGCGGTCGGGGCCCCGGCTTTTCTTCGGGGAGCTCGGCCGCCGCGCGCCGCAGCCCTGCGCCCATGCCTCCCGCCCAGACCTGACGCCTGCCTCTGCCGAGCCGGGGAACCAGCTGGGACCGCAGGCCGGGCCCGCCCCTCACCGCCCCTGGGCGGGGCCTCCCCACGTGACCCGCTCACCGCACACCTCGGCCGGGTCGGCCCCGGCCGCCTCCGGCCCCGGCCGCCTCCGGCCCCGCCACGTGGTCCCCGGGGGAAAGACCGGCTCCTGCGCTCTGGCTCCAGGCTTCCTGGAGAGGCTTTCCCATTTCTCTGACTGAAGTGTGGCCACACCAACAGGGAAGGGGCATGTCGTTATCTCCCGCTCCGAGGAGGGTCTAAGAGCCCAGTGAGAGCCGACATAAACACCGAGTAAAACAGCCGTGCCAGCGGGACGCGGGACACGAGACCCGGGTGCCATTTAACACCCATGGTCTGAGGTCCAACGGGGCAGACCACGACAGAAATCACCCAAAGGACAGTACCGCGCATGCGCACCCACCCTCCCAGGACACGAGAGCCAGGTCAGCCCTAACCCTAGCTCCGGCGGGGAGGAGATCCGAGGACCAGGGTTCAAAGCCCGCCGGGCAGGGAAGTCCGTGAGCCGCTCATCTCAGCTTACCCACCCAAAAGCCGAAGTGGAGCTATGGCTCAAGTGGTAGCGCAGTAGCCTTGAGCACAAAA